TTGCGTTGGCAACTATAAATTTTGCGAAATACATCGAAATATTGGAGGAAGGACTCTTGCCACTTTATTCCTCGGGTTTCGTGGACAAGAACACAACGTTATTCCGGGAAAATGGAGCACCGTGTCACACAGCTAGAAACACCGAAAAGTGGCAGGAAGAAAATGGTATCCAGAAGTTGCCCTGACCAAGCCAATCTCCTGACATGAGCCCCATCGAAAACCTCTGGGCCATACTCGACCGGCAAGTCAAGAAACAACAACAACAACAACAAAAAAAAAAACAGCTTCGAAGAGCGATCTACTCCAAGTTTTGAAGCAAGAGTGGGCGAAAATCCGACAATCTAAATTTGACGAGATGATTCTCACGATGCCCCAAAAGATCAACGAACTCCACGAAGCGAAAGGAAGATCTATTAGATATTAATTAAATTATAAATATATCAATTCATGTGAATATGAATGAAAAATTTCATTTTTTCTGAAAAGGTGGTGTCTATTTACTTGTGACCACGCTGTGTACATATAATGAATATAGTTAACGACTTAGTTTATTTAGTAACGTATATACAAAAATAAAGCAATATTTTAAGTTTTTGAACAGATTAGTTCAAGTGATCTTGATGTTCAACATACAAGTTCTAATTTAAATGTTGTATAAAACTAAAGAGAAAATTTAGTCTAGGTAATCGGATGGTGAGGACAATTTTTCCAAGATGCAAACTTTGATTAATGGAATTTAATTTATATTCACTTTGTTTAATTATTACTAAATGAACTGTCTGAGCTAATATAGAAAAGTAAAACTCACGATTTTCTTTATCATGTGCAGTAGATTGGGCTTTTGTATACAAATGTATTTCAAACCCACTTCTTCCGACTGAAAAGCTTACGCAAGCAGACTTTGGACCTCATGTTTTACAAATCTATCTTTAAGTATCAAGGCCTTTACACTAAACAAAATCACACAATTTTATGTACTTATGTTTAGCTGGTCATTAATTAATATGATATTATTTTGTTATAAATTACAAGGGAAAAGAAACTAACCTTTATCTAAGTTTTATATGTGAGGTATTGAATTCACGTCTTAGCTCATTAGCTATTACGTTAGAAAACAAAGTTATCCTTATTTGGCTAGTATAAGCACGTAATTAATTAAATTCGTCTTTCAAATCATCGAGTCCCCCAGTGGGTCAGCGGTAAGTTTTACGAACATACAACGCTAAGATCCAGTGTTCGATTCCCCACGGTGAACAGAGCATTGTTTAGCTTTGCGGTAAACTTTGGGGGTAATTTTTGATAAAACCTGGTCGTTTATGATAAAAAGCTGATAGGAAGTAACTTTACGATACGTGGGTGAGTTTATAAACAGAAATAAATACATCAGTTTACTGACGAAAGAATAAAGACGAATGCTTGGTGATATCTTAGTATAAGCCATAATAATTTTGATCATCAATCAAATTTAGTCAATATGATACTGGCATAAGTTCATTCCCTTCGTTGTAGCCCCGAACTTATATTCAAATGAGAATTTATGACGACGGTTATTTAAACTTTAAATATAAAACAAGACAAACTAGCATTTATTGTTAATTTTTTATATATTTCACAATAATTTCTTCTCTTATGTTTAATTCAAGATCATTCTCGTTTTTTTTTTGCTTATAAAAAAAACCAATTAATTTTGTGTAACCTTTAACAAGTAAATTGTGAACTGTTAATGTCATAACTTTCTATCTTACGTTACAGTTGTGTTAATATCTTACTTTCATTATCTCAGATCGAAGTCCTTTTTATTATGAAAACAACTATGTCAAGAAGGTACTCCTTCTTAATTCGCTTGATGTAAGCTCGCATTTACTTAAGCCACGTTTTAGCATCTTTCTTAATCCTATAAAAAATATTTGCCGAGGTGAGAAGAAAAATAAAAATGATTAAGTGTCACCCTTAAAACAATTCTTCGAGTATCATGTAAAACGTAAAAAAAAAATTGGCACTTACTTTTTTATTTAACTTGATATTTGTAAAAATGGCATGAACCCTCCATGTTTTACTAAACATGGAACCGAATGCCAGGGTAAATCCGTTCATCAACACCCACGCTCTAGCCTGCAATAAACAATATTTATGTAAAATACAACAGATAAATAAGTAAGCTATAATATAAATAATAACAAATATATAAAACATCTATGATTAAACTCACCACTCGCACTCAAAACTTCCACAGAAGTCCAACTTTGACCAGACCACATCTTCACACTTAAACATATATCCATTCCTCTATAAATCGTGCATTCAGGTTTTTGTTCATTAAACTGACTTCACTTATATAGTGTACCTGATTTACACTTTCTATGCGTTATACAGGTTGTCCGGAAATTATCTTACACATATCTTAACAAAGTTGTTTACTTGCGTCTGGCACTGAGATTATTTGCGTTGCCAGTGCGCAATGTTCAAAATAACGGACTCGTGGAGTGCACACAGTGTGCGTTCTAATGCTTCACACGTTCATAAATAAATGTTAATGAATTTGTTTCCATAATTTCCGTACAGTCTTTATATTTCTTTTAATCTATGTTACCTTCTACATTTCTCAGAAGAAGACTTTGCCAAATATCGAAATAAGTTATTATAATATCTTCTTCGCAACCTTCCATTGTTCCGGTAGATATTACCATACTCAACTCCTCATATACTCCAGTTTTAAAGTTTATCAAACTGTTTCCTCAGCTTACAGATATTCTTTTTTTACAGAATCCATCAGTATCGTGACATACCTGACTTAAGACTATTTTACTCTCTGTTACTGTTACATAGCTTGTCATATCATTACTTAATTAATCCTCATGTACTATGACATACACCAACATTTTAAAACTTAACTCTTCATTAACGAGACATAGGTTACCAGTTCATAGCATTCCAACATTATTCATTATTCTAGTAGACCTCACCATCTCAAGGCATTATTCTACTTTCAAATCTTACATCTTGAAGAATTACTTTATCCTTCAATAATTAATAAGTTATTTGTACTCGCGAAATATCTTCCTATTAACTCTTATAAAGCTTTCCCTATTCTGAACACTTTCATATTCCGTCTTTTTTGTTTTTCTGTATAGAACTAAGCCATTAAGCTACGTTCACAGGTGTATTTTGATACTAAACTACTGTAATAAATTTCAGGGCTACTCAGGATTTCAAGGAAGAAGGCGTATGATGAGAATAAAGCTATAATATTAATAATGCACCAAAACAACTTAGTATCGCAATCGCTTAGATCTATAGAGAGAAACAAACCAAACTAAAATTAACCATTACAAACACTCATATATCAAGTTAAGTAGGTTATTAATACTTTTGTATGTTTAACTATTTATTCATGTATAGCGCTTTATTGTCATGTATAAACAAGATGATGGTGCTTCCCAGAATGCTATATCGTCATTTATACACAGAATGATATGGCTTCCCAGAATGCTATATCGTCATGTATACACAAGATGATGGAGCTTCCCAGAATGCTTTAACGTGAAACTTCAAGTTTAGTTTGGCTCAGTTCATGAAATTCTGTAATGTCGACCATTTCGACGAGTTGGTCCAAACATTTTGTAAGCTTTCCAATTTTGTGACTTAATGCTCGAGTACTTCCAAATGGTCTAAACAATTTTCAGATCACTCGTATTTTCAAATTTTCTGATACTGAAATATCTGCCCAGTATTATCGTGTTTTATGATCGCGTGCACTTTTACGATGGATTATTTGTTGTTCATCTCTTGTGCATGAAGTAACATGAAATCCCCATAGGATACGACCAACTATGAGTTCCTTAATGCCTCAGTAGTTAATACATGTCAACACAGGCAAAAACTGGTTCTTTCTTTTCAATCGTATTATCCCACTCATCTCCCTAATTATATAAGGATCCTCGTTTTTTCTACACAAGAGACATTTTTTTATAGCTATAATCTTCTGACAAACACGAATGTTTACCATAAAACAGCATAATCTACTTAGGGTTAATACTTGTAACTCTGCGTTCTGTGAACACTAGTTGAGAGAAACAAAAGTTATATCTTATATTTCTTTAAGGCTTAACAAACCTGTCCGTTAATATTGTTTTGCACACATAAGCTCAGATGGATGCAATTCCGGCGTTTCAGTTTTAAAGTAATTAAGCCACAGTGTTGTATGACAAAACAGATATTTCCACTTTTAATAAAATTATCTTTATTCAAAAGCAACTAGCACTAAGGAAGAATGTATTTTCATTTTTACTTTGTAGTTTCATTCTAACGAAACTCAAGTGAGATGATCAAGTAGTTTAGATTCATGCTTATATAATATTGAAGTAACTAATAACTCAGAAATAAGAAAGTAAGAGAATGTTGTGTTAATACATTAACTTCAAGTCTTTCCACGACATTTTGTCGGTAATAGTAAAAATGAGGTAGTATTATTTCTGCAAGTTTTCAGATTGCTCTTATTGTTATATGCCAAATTTGTCCCCTAGTGGCACAGCGGTATGTCTGCGAACTTACAACGCTAGAAACCGAATTTCGATACCCGTGGTGGGCAGAGCACGGATAACCCATCGTGTAGCTTTGTGATTAACTCCAAACGAACAAATATATGGCAATTTTTTTTGGTCTGTGTGTTTTCTAGGCATAACAAAGTTTATAATTTCGAGTGTTGTGTTCAAATATTATTAAACGATATTGAAAATATTGTTACTTCAGATAATATAGTTTAAACTTAGCTTTGTGGTTAAAACTTCTGTTTCGTAAATCGGTTTATAAATTAGGATATTTCAGTTAAAATAACTATTTTTTAAGGCTTTGTGGGTTGCATGTTTAAAAATCAACTGATGAAAATAGGTTTATTTATTTGTATAAGTAAATAGTCAGTTCATGTTGATAGATTCCTTTTGATAAATAAATGTCAAAATTAATTTAAGATATTCGTCAATAAATGATTTTTACCGCAGTAAGTACCGCGTTTCTGTGGATCAAAGCTGAAACTGATCAAATTCTATAAGATTTCAATATTGCTTGAAACTTATAGTTACGAGATTGATTTTAATCGGAGTAAAGTAACGAGGTTTTGGCGTGACAAAAATGTGAGAAGCACATTAAAAAATAGGAAAACCTTTACCAAACCAATGGTCTGAATTACTATTACAATACTTTTTATCTTCGAATGTGTTTGAATTTTTTTTTTGTCGTTTATTGCATTTGAACACAATTCAAGTTAATTTCAGCTTTAATCTATTTCAACATTTGTAAAATACAGAAGTTCCAGTTAAACCTATTAAAGCGTGTATCAGTAAATTGATCTTGTTAAAGCAATTTTATTTTTTATCAAACCGAGATTTGTATTCCATGGTAGTTTTTTTTTTTAAATTTGCTAACTGAATTTTTTCTTTCTTTCTATCAGCATTCTTCTGTACAGCTATCCGCCAAAAAAAAAAAACCTACCTACTTTTGGTTAAAATTATTATTATCATTATAATTTTGTATTTCAGTTGCAGCTTCCCGATACCCCTTAGAAACCGGGGTTCGATACCCGTGGTGGGAAGAGCACAGATAGCCCATTGCGCAGCTTTGTGCTTAATTTCAAACAAGCAAAAATAATCATTGATAAAAATAATCCCCGCTCCTAATTTATTTGACAAACCTTCTCATTTACCCCTAATAGCGCCGTCCAAGGACACAGAAGTATGAAGTTAGAACAGAACTCGAAAGAAATGAAACATCTGTAATAAATTAGGGACCTGGTATGGCCTAGTGGTTAGGACGCTTGACTCGTGATATGGATGTTGTAGGTTCGAATCTCATCACCGAAAATGCTCGCCCTTTTAGCCATAGGAACGTTATAGTGTGACGATCAATCCCTATTCGAATAGTTCAAGAGTTGGCAGCTGGTGGTGTTCAACAGCTGCTTTACCGCTGGTCTATCACTTCTAAATTAGGGTCGGCTAGTACAGATAGCCATCGCATACGTTTGCGCGATATTCAACAAAACAAACAAAAATGTAATAAGATTATCGGAAGACGGTCTTATTATGGAACAAAAATAGAATACTCAAAGTATTTGGCTTTTTCAACCTGATCAATACTCGATGCTACAAGTTGGTTGAATGGCCAGGTAAGAAAATCCAGGGTTCAGATATAACCTTCTTAATTTATAAATTTTAACCAGAGGAAAAGCGACCAGTCAATAGCACAGACTGCCTAAACAGCCATTCTTAACCAAATAGCCGTGATTGACTGTAACGTTTATAAAGTATTCAAAAGTGATAGTGTGGAACGTGTTCAACGGCATATCATGGGTTCGAACCTTGTAATTCGCAGCCTGACACACTAAACCGCTTGATTACGCCGAGCTCTCACAATAATATAAGAAAACACCAAAACACAAAACAAATATAATAAAGAAGATAGAAATAAAAAACTACAATCATAAATAACACAAGGTAAAAATCTGACGCATTTCCTAAGTACTTCTATAAACAAGAGAAAATCCTCAATAGCCGCGGCAAGTTGGTCAAGAGATGACGGAGCTATGGGCTAAAAGTTTGTACTTGAACCTCCCTTCCAAAAAAAACAAAACAAACAAACTCAGAGCCGTTCTGCCGCGCTAAAAATGTTTGGAATATAAAGGTCGATTTAAACAGTGAATGAAGCCATTTATACATTTTCCCGAAGATTACGGAAAAGATAAGTAAATGTGAAATCTTGCTTAATGTATACCGTTTATATAACTATATTGCAATTAAATGTGAGTTACGTGATATACACTGCACAAAACAATGAAAGAAATAGATATAGATATATATAGTCAGAGCTAAACAAGGGAAAAACCATTGTTATAAAGAAATGCCAACCACTCCTCTCAGTTCTACGATATGCAAATCAATCATCTTAGGGTCAGTCATGTGGTCTGAAATGCAAATGATTGGTCATTTAGTCTACGCTGTATGTAAAAGCTCCACATATTATTGTTTTCAGTTGTCATCTTTATGTGAATTACAGATTTTAAAGTGCACTAAACTGTTCAAGAATCGTTGCTAGTACTCAAAATTTACATCTGGATGGTTTAAACATTTGTAAAGCCATCAAATGTATTGAATCCTGACAATCACAGAAGACTGTTAAACTTGGCTAGAAGTACCTTAACGTGTCATTATTGAAATGTGGAACTGCTTCCAAATCAATGGTGTAATAGCTCGAATAACCAGGCAAGGCATACCGATGTTCACATTCGAAACAAACGACAGCTATCTGTCGATACTGGCTTGACGTAATAGAAACAGATGACAGCTCGTTTCTATTACATCAAGCCAGTATCGACAGAGAGCTGTCATCTGTTTCTATTACGTCAAGCCAGTATCGACAGAAGACGACAGCTATCTGTCAATACTGGCTTGACGTAATAGAAATAGTCGACAGCTGTCTGTGGATACTGGTTTGACGTAATAGAAACAGACGACAGCTACCTGTCGATACTGGCTTGACATAATAGAAACAGGTGACATCAATCTGTCGATACTGGCTTGCGTCAGTACCAAGGCACTTGTTCTAAGACTGAATCAGATATTTACAGTCACAACTGGACTCCATATCATTGTACAAATGGTTATAAGAAGATT